CCCCAAAACCCCAAAACCCCAAAACCCCAAAACCCCAAAACCCCAATTATGTATAATGCTTAAAAATAAGAGTAAATCATATTTTAAAGGATTTTTGGAAATATAATTCACTAGGTGCATTAATAAATATTTAGGCATCCAAGCTTCTATTAATTCCTAATTATTACTTTGAAAATGGATCCAATTTCAATTCTTTATAATAATTAATTAAAAATATCTAATGTTCAAGCTCGTCGTTGTCGGCCTCGTTATGGCTGTTATTTCAGCAACCCACCCAATCAGTGAAGAGATGGTTAGAAGCATCAGAGCTAAGACCAGCCTCTGGCAACCACATGAGACTGAGACCAATCCATTCGCAAACCTCACCAAGGAGCAACTCTTCGCCAGATGTGGTACTTACATCGTCCCACCCAACAAACAATACCCAGGCTCCAAACTTGTCTCAGTTCCAGAGAACTTCGACTCCAGAGAGCAATGGGGAAAAGAGATCCACGCCATCAGAGATCAACAACAATGCGGTTCATGCTGGGCTTTCGGTGCTACTGAGGCTTTCTCAGACAGATACGCCATCGCATCAGGTGATAAAATTGATGTTGTCCTCTCACCAGAAGAATTGGTTTCCTGCGATACCAACGATTATGGCTGCAATGGTGGCTATATGGATATGGCTTGGGAATTCCTTGCTGACACTGGAGCAGTCACCGATGCATGCTTCCCATACACCGCAGGTGGTGGTAATGCCCCAGACTGCGCAACTAAATGCGTTGATGGCTCTGAAATGAAGAGATTCAAGTGTGTTTAAAATTCAGTCAGACAATCTGCCAGCGTTGACCAAATCAAATCTGAAATCTTCGCTCACGGTCCAGTTGAAGGTGCCTTCACCGTCTACACTGACTTCTTCAACTATCAAAGTGGAGTCTACTCTCCAACTACCTCTGATGTTGCTGGTGGTCACGCTATCAAGATCCTTGGTTGGGGTGTTGAGAACGGAACCAACTACTGGCTCTGCGCTAACTCATGGGGCCCATCATGGGGAATGAGTGGATTCTTCAAGATCAAGCAAGGTGAATGCGGAATCGAAGATCAAGTATTCTCATGCGACCCACAACTCTGAGTTATCTTTCAATCTCTCTCAAATTTCCGTTATATTTGAATAATGTTAACCATAAACATCTTCCAAAAATCATATTCTTATCTATTGATTACTAGTCATTACAAGGAGTCAAATTCTATTGTAGATTCCATAGCACGGGGTTTTGGGGTTTTGGGGAGATCGGAAGAGCACACGTCT